ACCTGTTGTTGCTGAGGTTTATGATGAATAGGAACAAAAGCTTGTGTCCTCTCATTTCACATGCTCAGACCCACTTGAAGTACCTCTCTCTCGTGCGTGGGTGGTACAAGTCAGATCTGCCTACAGTTCCCAAAAAACTGAAGTTTGTTTTTTTTAAACTGTGGGCTTTATGTTAATGGTGTGTGCCTGTGCGTGGCCCTATGTGTCTGTGTGGGTGCATGTGCTACTCTTGCTGCTACAGTAGCAAAGTACCTGGAGGCAAATTTCTCAAAACTATTTAAGCTGTTTTACTAGTGTGGGACGGTTTTGAGGTGCAGTGGTCACAAGCCACCCCTCTTCAGATGAAGAGCTGTGCTCAGAGAAGTGCCCAGCTCCCAGGTGCTCTCCCCCAGAAACAAAACCACAAAACAGCTGGCTGTGGAAAGTGAAACCTTTGGCAGCATCTGCTCCATCAAAAGATAATCCATCTGACCTGCATCAGAAGCAGCTTTTGGTGTGCTGTGTTTCTGTTAAACATCTGGAGACCTGAGGTGGTGCTGTTACACTCCTGAAGGATTTATATGACTGGGATTGACTGCATCCCCTGGATTGACTGGATCTGAAAGGCAGAAGGGCCCAGAGGTAGCATAAACGTGGTGTTTGGCTGAGGTGTGAACTGGCAAGCTCGAGCTCGCTTCCTCCACAGGGCAGATCCTCAGATGTTGCAAAGTGTCCTGGCTCCTGGACTTGTAGACGCTTATGTCATTCAACATCTGTCCCAAATGCTTAATAACAACCAATCATCCCTATTTCCGGATATTTTCTTTTACACATCCTGCTTTGTGAGAACTTACTGCTACTAGAATTTTGCTGTGATGGGTCTCTGAAATGCAGATCTGAGAATGCATTTTATACATTTATGACTGGCAATAAATCTCAAAACATTTGAAACCACTGGTTTAGCCAGCTCTCCCTGTTTGAGAACAGCTATTTCACCTTTGTTTCTACTGCACAGTTTTCAATGTGTTACCTGTTCAACTCCTATGGAGCAGTGCTGTGACTAAATGCAGTAAAATCCACTGGCAGCCTACAAACATGTTGCAAAACATACCCTTTCCTCATATGGCAGCAAAGACCTGACATTTCTTTTCAAACTGCTTTCAGCTTTTAATATATAATATTGCAATCATCCGTTTTCTATCATGTTCTTTTAATTTAATGAGTTGTTGAAAATATTTACTTTCTTCTCCAAACATCTCTGTCTTGTAATCGTTCTGGAGGCATCTGGAACTAAAATCTTTGATACTCTGTTTATCTGATTTTAGCTCAGTCAAAATTTCTATCAGACAAGTCTGGAAATCATTAAGATAATTTATGTTTTCCATCTAAACCCATTAAAATAATAGTGATTGTAATTCTCTAGGCTCAGTGTATGTGTGTGGTTGCTTTCTAAACTTTGTCGTTTCCAGGATGTTCTACTAAGCTTGGCTCTTCTTTTGCCTTAGCGTGGAAGTACAATTGCTGAGTTAAGATTCATTATCTTACTTTGCCTTGATACTGGGAAGAGAGAAATTAAAAGGGTTACTGAAATGGGTGAAAAACACTAAGAAGGGTAGAATTTGAGACAGAGTGACAAGATCTGGGTTCAGGTCCCTCTTTGCCTGCAAATTGATTTCTCTCATTTTTTTGTCTGAAAATGAGGGATAATTCTCCTTTTCCCCCATCCTTTTCTCAGTCTAGTATCTCCAGAATGGATGATGTCTTTATACATGCATATTGCCTAACAAAAACTGACTCCAAAATATAGAGATAGCATCAAGGGGTCCTAACTTCTTGTTAAAATGGATGACATTACTGAGAAGTCAGTACTAGTTTGGAATTTGGGGGGGCACCTAAAAAGTATCTCTACAGTTCAGGTTTATTTCACAAATGCATTCACGGACGAATTCATGTTAGTGCAACCTTTTAACAACTGTTGAATAATATACTGAGGATTTTTGGGTAGCCAACACCAGCAAAAAGTTCTGGCATGTGGGATAAGTTTAACCTTTGATAGAAATGTCGACTTCTGTCAAGATCATTAAATACTTGTTTAGTCTTCGACAATATTTTTACTCATTTTCAGTTAATAAAATAGTCAACAGAACCTACTAAATTTCTTTCTCTCCCACATGGTTAAGAGGAAACTTTTGCATGCAGTGAAAATTGTATAACTAACTGTAGGCAGTTTGGAAAATACAGATATGAGAAAATATATTAACTGGGAACCAAGCCATCTAATTTACTGCCAGAATTGCTCTTCTGAACTAAACCAAAAAACAACTCTATTTATTACTGTAGCTTAGTTAAGTGATTAAAATTCTTAAAAGTATTTGAGACGATCCATGTTGTGCTTTCACAAACAAAGCCAAGTGCTCTAAGCAGAATGAGGGAGCACTGTGTCTAGATGGTGATGGTCTGTCCCTCAGCAAATGCTGTCATTTTTTTTGTAATGTGGCTGTGGTACAAGTCTAGGAACCCAAGTGCAAAATTTGTCACTGAGACCACTACATTTTTAAGCATAAAGAAAGTGTAAACTGTGCTCTAGTCTCTTGCTCTTGGAACTGTCTTTTCAAAATCGTGTATTTAAGCTCAAACTCTTAAGATATGTGTCTATATACTTTGGCACTGGCTACTGATACAGCCTTACCTACAAAACAGTAATCTGTAAATAGTATACTGTTTTGTACAGTAGGCAGTGACGAATTACTTTATATTTGTCTTCAGATAGAAAAAAATGTATGAACATTTGCATATTGATAAATGGGGAAAAAAGATAATGATTAAAGACTATATCACCGAGCCCTGTGATGCAAAGGCAACTGCTTGTGACAGATGATTTATATTTGTTTATTTGCTCATATTAATGGTTCCAGCTAAACAGTTTACTATCATGAACTGAATTTTCTCTGATGCAGAAAAACTAATTTTTCCACTTTATGTAGCTGGAAAGTAGGGCGGTGTTACTAACATTTGGTTTCTTCACCAGCAGTAGCGAATAAATTCAATCTGGACATCTTAAGATAAAAGTCTGTTTTGCCTGTGCAAACTGCCACTAAGGCTTAGATACCATTGTTGCAAAGCTTAGAGCAAACAGAGCAGCTGTTTCAGCCTAGTTTAAACATGGTGAGCAAGAGTGAAGCATATTAACTCCAGCTGTGTACTGATAACAGCTGGGAAGGAAAATCACTGCAAGGGAACCCTAAGTAAACTAGAAGGCTTAGTTATCATGAGTGCGCCTCTAAGGGAGGAGCAGCAATGAAAATCTGATCCTTAGAACCATGGAGGATTTAATGAGGAATTCCCATGCCTCTTTTTGTGCTTCTGTGAAGATGTAGAGCAGGTTCTGGAGGTAGTGGCATTGCCTCTGAAGATTTTTGATGCAGATCTCATGCTGTACTTACACTCATGGGCAATTTTGAGATCAAGGCAAGTACTGAGTGATGGATTCTGTGCATCCATTCTGTATAATGGTGTCCCTTTTAAAGCAGAATATTGCACCGCTGCCCTGTCTGATTAGAGACTATGCTGTAATCTCTTCAGTAGCCTACATTATTCCAGAATAATATGTACCAGTATTTAGGCTACTTTTGAGGTTTTTATATTTGGGTACTTGTATTTTGCTCTGTTGAACACAAAGAACAGTATAAAACTAGAGGAAATGATAAATATCACTCAGTGGTAAACCCAGCAAAAATTATTCAGAGAAGTTGTATTAAAGGAAATATTTCCTTAGGTCCTTGTTGCAGTAGAATAATGGTTTACCTAGGTTTAGGTTTAATGGGAATATATTTTAAGAATTTCCTTCTGATCAATCCTTTGTGATAGCTTACGATTAAGAATAATTCTGGAAAAGTTATGCAGTTGTAGTACTAAACCTTCATTATATTTCACAGTAGTATTTTAAAGATAACAGGTTAATGTAGGGCTTCCTTGTGAAGGTCTCAGTTATCTCAGTGACTGCAAAGGCCCAAAACATAAATAGCAGTACTGGAGGTACTCTGTGTTTTTCTCCTTTATCCTACTTGTCTTTCCCATTCCTTCAACTTATGTTCATGTTCTATTTGGTGTCTTCTAACCTCTGTGGAGTTAAAATCGTGTCTTGGGTATGTTCTACTAAGAACCTTGTGTACTTTAGATGGATGTAAAAGGACTAGACTTACACAGCTAAAGTTTTGGACAGGAGGCAACACAGCTGTCTGTGTTCCTCTAGAAAGAGAACATAAGGATATGAATAAAGACATTTAAATGAGGCCAGTTAGCATTGTCATAAAGTTCTTTTAATGTTAACCAGCTGTTAGAGACTTGTTCTCATTCTTTAGTAGATTACATGCCTCTTATTTTGCTGAAAGTCAGCGTGCTCTATTTCTGTATGCACAGCAGACAATTATATAATAAACCAGGTCTTCAGTTTCATGTGTATACAATTATGAGAAAGCAGTAGTTCCTCAAAGAAGGCAGTTTTGGCATCATTCATAAAGAGTGTTTTCAAGTTAAAAGTATGGACTATGTTGAGTGAAAAAATGTAAACACATATAGATGTATGTGAAAATAGTAGAGGAATGAAAGAGGATAGGAGAAACATGAACAAGGGAAGTGGAATAAAAAACACATCTTGCAAATGACTTGACAAGACCACATCAAAACAGCTGTAAAGCTGGGTAAACTCTAAAGCCCAGTGGCATGCACAAATATGAGGACAATTTTAGTGTTCCCAAAAGACAGGGACCTGTCTGAGTGGGCTACTGAAAGTATTTGGATGATGTATGTTAGTTATTGTCTCTTTTCTTATGTTTTTATATAAAAATAATTTGTCTCAGAGAGAGAAATCTGATGGCTCTGATCTTTTTATGACTGAAGTAACATTCTCATTGACCTTGGGACTGTGTCCAATAAGCACTTGCATATTAAATAACCGATAATATTGCATTCCAGTTTCAACTATTCCCATCTACTATGGTTTGTTTTATTGTGTTTTTCAGGTTTGATTGCTGCACTGGATCTTTGGCCGTGGTCCCCTCTACATTGCAACACTGAAAACAATGGCAACAGAATATATGAAAACGTGCTGTAAATGGTGTTTCTGCATCGAAAAGGAAAAAAACGATCGTGAGTTCTGACATAATGACATCAACTAACAGTTTTGCTGTTCTGGTTTCATTAATGGTGAAGTTTCCCATTAATAAAATGACTGTGTCACCCGTGATAAACTTGATTTCTTTTACAACATCCAAAATTCTTTCCATACCTCCACGTGGAGATTGAACAGATGCTTTTAAGTGTTATGACTTGGAACTGAGAAATAACACTTGTCTGGAGTCTGCTCTTCGCCGTCTAAAATACTGTCCAAAAAAGCTGGCTTTTTTACCCAAGGTTGTGTAAAGGTCTTGTATCTTTTGAACTCTCAGAATTCGAAAGCTTTCTTTTTATTTTTTTTTCAACTCTGTGGATTTACTGTCAGGATTTTCTTTGGTGTCTCAGTTGTTTGAAGAACTCTTCAATGATGCAAGTGTAGCTTTTGTGAAAATTCACATTAAGAGGAAGATAGCTATAAATATAGAAGCGTGGGCAACAGAGAGTTTGGACCAGTACAGGTGTCAGGAGGAAAAATATCTTTTCCAGGTGCTAGTCCTGAATGCTGTAAAACTGAATATTAGCAGCTGTTAAGTAATGTATCAAGCACAGATACTATTAAATAAAAGACGTTTGTTCATGGTATTGTTCAAAAATTAATGCACATGTGGACTGTCTGTTTTTCTTGCTCTTTATTTTTAGCAGTTTCCATGGTGCAGGAATTTGAAGCAGGAGCTGCAAGCAAGCCAACTATTGTAGAGAAGCCTCCATTGTCTTCTGTGTCAGTGAAGCGTCAAGTTGGCTGTTCAGAGGATTATTTGCTTTCTAAACTGCCCCTGGATGGTCAGGAGGTACCATTTGTGGTCCCTCCATTCAAACTGGCTTATGTACAGCCGAAGAACCTTCCTAGTATCTCACATGCTGGAGGGATTAAAGGTACAATACAAACAGCATTGCTGAAATAGTTGTTTAGCTTCTGCTACTCCTTGAAAGTTATTCCTACTGTATTCCTACTGAAAACATATGTTTGCAGAACTTTTCTAGAAGCCTGGTCTTGTTTCAAAGAATCATAGAATACCATGAGTTGGAAAGGACCCACAGAGATCATCAAAGTCCAAGTGCTGGCCCTGCACAGGACACCCCAAAAGTCACAGCATGTACATGAGTGCATTGTCCAAATGCTTCTTGAACTCTGGCAGGCTTGGGGCTGTGACCACTCCCCTGGGGAGCCTGAGGAGCTTGTTTCTTTTCTCTCTGGACACCCAGAGAGGTTTTGGGAAGTGTGTCATCCCACTGTGAATCTCTGTGATGTTGCATGAATAAGACTGAAAGGGATGACTGCACACCAGTGTTCATGCTCAAAAGTAATGGAAGACACTTACGGGAAACAGAATCTTTAGTGAAGAATTTATTGGAGGCAAGAAAAGACCTAACACATGCCAGTATCCAGACCACTCAAGTAAAAAGAGAAGGGTGGTCTGGCTTTCATGGTTAATATACTGATATGTTTTAACATACTAACACATCTTCCTTTTCAAATTTTGCCAATAGATGGCATGCACTACTACTTGGCAGAATTTTTTGTCCCTAGTATTTCCTATTTCCTGCTTTTTTTGCTACTTTTTGGGAGGTTGGGGACACAGATCTCCATGGTATGAGGTTGCACATGATGTTATGATTCTTTGCTTCACGGCAATCTTGTGTTTCAACCTCTGCACGTTAGTCCCATACTCAAACTGCCAAAATTATGTATATGCAGTTTAGACACAGTGCCGTTTTAAAAGAATAGGATCCTGGCCCAGTAACGTGAGTTACAGGGCATACACTATCATTAGGCTTTTAGTCCTGCCAGAGGATACCTTAAATTAGGTAAGGGAAAATTTTGGCACAGGGACATGCCTAAACAGTCGTTTTTTCTAGCATTTCTTTATCTCAAGGATATGATAAGCTGGGAATATGCTTTTAGTTCCATGTGAATGTATTTCTTTTCTGGAGGTGGAAACCTTAAAAACTGAAAAAAGTCAACCACATGTTGCATAATAACTAATGCAGCACTATGTAACATTTTTTGTGTTTATGTTGTTTTATTCCCACCCTCCTCTCTCTCCCTGTGTCCTTGCTATTGCTTCTTGTCTCCTCCTGTGGGCCTGTTACCAAACTTCCTCCTCATCCACTACTGCTGGTAACACTGGCACTGGAGCCAAGCTAATCAGCCCAGCAGAGCTATTTGGTATAGATTGGCCATTCTGTGCCTGATCTTTATCGTGGGCTTTATTTGTGATGTCGCACCAGACACGAACAGGCAACGGAATAGCTGGAGGTAGAATATGTGAGGTCCCTCTCATCTCTGAGCCTGATCTCCCCATTGCTGTTGCCTGCTATTTTGGTAGCTATTTTTTTTAAGTCCACAAATGGACATGCTATGGAAATGCAGGACATGCTCCTGATAATCCCCTTTCTTACTGGGTCTGGGTGCAGGCTTTACCTTGCTTTGTCTCCTACAGAGAAGTCCAGCGAGGACTCTGAGGCATGAGTATTCTCCAGGGAGAAGGAAGATGTGTCTAACAGCATTTAGATGAACGTTTTCTTTGTTCATGCTGTTCTACACAATCTTATCAGTCAGTGTCTACATTGGGAGTTCTGGTTCCTGATCATTTCTGAAGGACCTGATGTACAGAGTGGCCCTTAGGCTATAAGCTGGCAGATCTTCTGGCAAGATGACCTGACTCTTCATAATTGTCTCTCTTGAGCAAATATTTTAAATTCTTGAGCAAATATTTGAAAAGTAGCTCTTATGTCAAGTAGACAACTTTCATTTCTATTTCCAAATATAAATACTTAATTTTTAAAGTACAGCTTTCTAAGCCTCATTAAAATTGTGTTTAAAAATGCAGCATTTACTTTTCAGGGAGATTTACTAAATACAGTGAAGTGTGCTGTCATTCCTTCCTCACATTAGCCAAACCACCAGCATACTCGAGAAATGTATTTAGAGTATTTTTTTCTTAGACCGTTGTTAAATATCTGTAGAAATCCAAGTTCTGCTCTCAGTTCCACTCCATTTTCTGTGCATGTCTGGCCATTCTCCTTTAGTGAAACAGGACATTCTCAGTGTTAGCTCTTGGCATCCCTTCTGAAAGCAATTAAGTTCTGGCAGCCTTTCTCTTCAGTACTCACTGCACTGTGTGTCATGCTCTCACAGAAGTAAGCTAGCAGGAAGAAGTGTGCTCCTGGTCTGGAACACTGGCTTTTCCATCATCTGCTATGTAGCAATTCTTTATGGCCTCACTTGTAGCATTCATCCTAATTTACGTCATTCTCCAGCCCATTATGCTTGAATTCGTGCTTTATCGTTGCTCGTGTTCCATCTCAGTGTTTCAGTTATTCTTTTTCACTTTACTGGCAGGTGAGGATTTTACAGCAGTGATAGTTTGTCTCTTATGGTGAAACACACTTGCAGAACAGAAGGCACTTTATGGTGGGGTAAATTTAAGAGATAGGTTGAAGTCCAGGGAGGTGAAGTGAACAAAGTAAATGCTAAAGTTTGGCAGAATCCAGGTCACCCCATTCTCTAATGTACCATTACATATGGCTTCTTTTCACTCTAGACAGTAAAGAACACTACAGCAGTGTTCTTCACTGTTTTGCTGACCAAGATGTACGTATTTTTTCTGAAATGATTATGGGCTGAGTAAAGGGCTGGGATTCAAGCATTCTCAGATATGACTACTTGTGCTTCAGCTAACAATTCAAGTAATTTTGGACCAGTGATTTTACCATGGACAGGCTTCCCAAAGAGACTAGATAAACAAGGAGACTGCAGTCACAAGCTGCATTATCTTTCCATACAAGATCTTCCTGAAGGTGTTGGGATCCATTAGCTGAGTGGGAATATCCAGGGAATAGGTAGCCAAATAAATTGGAGGTTTTCTGTACACATGGCTCCACTTTTCCTATTAATTTCTGTCTTGCTGTCTGTCTGTGGAGCCTTCTGTATTTTAACTACTTGGCATTTACTGCAAAACTCCAAGACAGGGTATGCATAGTTTTTATGGCCAATTAGATTCCAGTGTTTGCTCGCATACTGTGAAAACCTGACATAATGTGAATGTGTGTTTTCTTTTTCTTTTTTTTTTTTTCCTTTACCCGAAGTAGATAATATTGAAATATTTTGTCCTTTGCCCTGAAGGCACCCTGCCTGCCTTATGAAGCCAGGCAGCATGTGTTATGTCTGGAACTCTTGCATTTGATGTTTACTTGTGCTCCACAGAATCTGCCAGGGCCTCATTTGGTGACCGGAAAGCAGAGCTACACGGCGTGTACCAGTGGCCCCGCTATGACGTGTACAACCCCTTCTATTTGGAGCACCGGGTTTCACCAGATCTGATTAGGCGCTCCCAAGCAAAATCAGATAACAGGAAATTATATGGATCAGGTGAGGAGAACCACGCCCTTACTTTTCTCTCTGTCTCCCTTTTTCAGGGTTTATAGGTAAGAGGGCAAAAAAGCCATTAGTCTACAGAATCTTGTTTGATTACAGCAGTCCCAAGTCAGTCTGTATGCTACGGACACTTCTTGGATGGTGAATCAATCCGTAGAGCCAGCTCTGCTTGATTTTCAGCTGTACTGTTACTTTTTGTCATTTGGGGGCATCAGAAGACTCCGTGCACCACACAAAGGTAGAGAAATTGGCAAAGTGAGCTACTGTAGCTGCTTCTGATCCCAAAGAGGATTCAGTACTGGAGATTTCAGCTGCCAGTGATAGGAGTGAGGGAACCAGAAAAAAGGAAGGCAGGCAGTATGTTGAGTGGAGAAATGCCTGAGGAGTACGTACCTGGGAACAGAAACAAGCACCAAAAAACGTTCAGGAGCAGATGATAAGAACAGGTGCAAAATGGGACATGATGCTCTATGCCAGCTCTTTTGTAGTTTGCTTTTGAAGCTACAGAAATGTCCCCACTTCTCATTGTGTGTAAGAATGGGGGAGGGCTGCGCAATAGTAAAAGTTCAGATGGAAAGTGTTTGGCTACTAGGGAAAAATTATCTTCTCTGCTGTTCATTGGTATATGTATCCTGTAATGAATGCTGTTTAGACTGAAGTAGATGACTAGGTGTTGCTTGTGATTTGTAAGGCAAATGCATTCAGAAAATTCAAACACTTGAAGAAATGTACACACCTCTCCGTTAAATCGGAAGCTGGCAACAGCATGCATTTTTAAAAATGTTTTATTTAGAATGGTATATCATGCTTATTTTACAGCTAGGGGAAAATGTCTCAGTCTGTGTCCTGTTTCAAAATAATTGTGAATCACCATAGAGACTACATGAAAAGACTACTCCATATATTTTTTAAGAGAACAAAACACATGTACAGTTTTAGCAGCCTTTAACACATATGGTTTTACTAGGCTCTGGAAGCACCTGTGGTGGGAGCCAAATGGGTTTTATAAAACTGTCTTGAACATCTTCCCTTCAGTTCATCATCTCTTTTTCCATTTTTCTTCAAGCAGAGTAAACACTTTACTAGTTTTGTCTTACTAAGTTTAAACACAAGAAAGGTTACTCTAGTGTGTCTAGAGTACAGTTTTAAAATGCCTTCTTCCTCCAGAGTTTTTTGACAGCTGTTTCAGAAGTTAGATGATTCTCTTCATGTGCATCTATAGAATATTTAAGCAAAACTCTAAGCCTAGTTTGTTGCAGCAAGTGATACTTTTCATATGTGTGGGTTTAAAACTACAGGACGTGTTTATTTGGAATGTATGAAGTGAAATTTTAGAATTCTAATATGAAGTCCCTCTTCTTCATCTTAAAAAAAACCCACATAAACAAATTGAAAAATAAATTTATTGATGTTTTCCCCAAATTCTAGTTATTAGTAAACAACATATGGTTAAAATTTTTCTGCTTTTTTAATATTTTCTTCCTTGGGAAAAGAAAGAATTATTCTGTATTCTATCATCTTACAATAAGCATAATTAGTTCTTTCTTTTGATAGCAATAAAAAGGAAATAGATTTTCAGTAACGAGAGATGTAATTCTGTTAAGATAACGATCGGTGGATTGCAGTGGATGTCTTCTGCAATACCATAACACAGCATTGCAACAAAAAGCAGTTCATTGCATTAGATAGCCCTAGAAGCTAAACTATGCTCATTCGCTTCAGTATGGGCCATTTTTGAGTTGGGCAGCTTTAAAAACCTCTTGAACATCACTGGAGTCAGCAGAGGTTCCTGAAACAGTGGCATTAGTTCAGCTTTCACCTACTGTTGCTGTATAATTATGCAGAGAAAATGTCCTTTAGCTCTGTATTGAGTTGGGGTCAAAATAAAACTGATAGCATCTACTTAACCACCAACTGCTGAGGAAACCACTCTTCTATAAAATAAAGGTCTTGGTTTTGTGCTATAGCAGGTACGTGTCATATTAGAGTTAAGACTTGCTTTGTCTGAGATCTAGTAAGGATATGGAGTGTGGTGCTTTGACACAGTGATCAGTGAAGCCAGGGAGATGAGGCCAAGTTTAGCAGGCAGCATGTTTTTGCCACTGGAATCTTTACTATGGAAAAATTTTTAAAAGGAGACCAGGCTAAACCCCAGTTCTAGCTGGCTAGATTTCAAGACAAAGGTCTTCTGTTTTGTTAAAGCATATACTAAACAAAACATTTCTCTTGAGGGAATAACTTTGAGGCAGGCTCCCCATCCTACTAGTGTGACCAAGTAAGTTTGAACTATTTCAAAGATGGAATTGAGATATTTTAATGGCTTGCTCTCTCCATTTTGCCATTTCAGGGGAGTGTTTTGGAAAGGGGAAGTAGGGAAAGGTACTGATGTCCTTCCTTGGATGTTATTTAGCTAGGTTTCAATTCTACCATAGATCTACTTAAATTTTTTTCTAGCAATGATGCTGATGTGATTTATATTGTTCTCTTTGTCTTTTTAGTTAGTGATTTAAGATCTAGTACTTTGCCTGGATCAGTTGATGTAAGTCGTTCAATGTTTGATCTCAGAAGCCCGCCTCATCGATCCATGAAGGTGCGTTCCCCTTATATATATATAACTTAGGGTATGCTGAAAACTCAGATTACTCAGTGTATCTGTTCCTGTTGTGTTGTGTTTTCAAAGTAAATACTGAAGGGCATTGTACTGTGCACTGGAAGGACTAGAGGGGAAAGTTCAACATCCTGACTAACTTCAAGAGGCCTTTTCCTGAGGCTGCTCTGATGTGCTGTTCTGGCCCAGAAGGGCTGTTGGGAAACCCAAGCAGGCTGTTAGGCAGGACAAGACAGAAAACAGGTCATGGCTCATCTTGTGATTTCTCCCATCAGTTGAAAAGTGGAACACTAGAAGTTTCCATTGACACAGAACACTGCCTTTATTTTTTTATTTTTTTTTAGTAATCATCTTTTAGAAAGCAATGAACTTGTGTGTGTGTGTATATATATATCTATATATATCTATCCATGAGCAAAAAAAAACATCTGTGCTGGTCAAATGGATTCTGTATTAGCTCATTGCATCAAAACAGTAATTGATCGTGGATTAAGAGACTAGTAAGGAATGAGGTAATTATTTGAAACTGAGTGTTTTGTTTTCATCACATCTTGTCTGGTGGTGTAATCTCTCTGGGTTTTGCATCTGTTGCTCTGAATTAAGTGAATTTTTTGTCCCCCCCAGAGATATGATTCAGTCTCCAGTGTACCCAGCAGTACTTCTTCCAGGAAGGATTCACAAGGCAGTAACAGGAGTCTGGGTAATGTTTTGTTTGTTTACCTTGTAATGAAATATTTCCCTTTGCACATGAAATATTAAGCTGTTTTTACTGTTGTTTAGTTTTGGTTTTCTTGTTTGTTTTTTTTTGAGATGAATCTAACTAGCGGATCAGTTTGGAGATTACTTTGCAATTTGAGATTGAGTTTTGGGCTTGCACCTTCCTGTTGTCAGGAAACTGAGCAAATGAGACTTTGAGGAGTTCTCATGCTTTTGAAAAATTCATCCCTGGATTTACTACCCTCATGAATTAAGAAATTACAGACATTCTGTTAGGGTAGAATGCAGCACTAGGTCACAGGTCTAGTCCTTTTTCATCTCTCAGTACAGTATTTTTCTGTGGGAAGTGCCTGAAATCCAATACATATATTACACTGGTAATTAGACAAGAATATTGCATGCAAACCCAGCATCCTTATTTATTAAAGAATGCTGAAGAATTGGAGATACTGCAAAACAAACCTTCAAAAATTAATCAAGTACCCACAAAAGTCACTCTGCTAGAAGTCAGAATTTCTCCCAGTCTCCTCAAAAAGAAGACTGGGGGCAATGACCTAGTTCTAATCAGGACAGAGAAATGCTGGACATATTAAATGGCTCTTCTGACTTGGAGAAAGCATAATAGTAAAATGTTTACTAGACTGGAATTGAAATCTGAGAAAGGTAAACAGGAGGCCAATTTATAAACTTAACGGTGAAAGAGATTAAGGGAAGTGATAGAATATAAATGTGTTCTGGGTGTCTCAGGCACATGATTTTTTTCTTTCTAAAAGTTGTTTGAGTACAACTAGTTATTAAATTCAGTAGAGATAACTCAGGCACATGGTGTGATTCTTTGTGTGGTCCTCTGCAGAGCCACAGGAGCTGGACTTCAGTGATCCTTAGGGGTCCCTTCCAGTTCAGGATATTCTATGATTCTGTTCTATGAAATGTGAAGGCTTTTAGCTATGCAAAAGGTCAAGCTACAGGACATGGTGGATATTTTGTCATTAAAATGTAGGTGTTAAAGTATTTCAAACTTATTTTGGGAGGAGTTTGCAAAGATAACCAGTCCACCTACTAACGAGTTCCTGTATTCCTGGAATGAACATTTAAGATACTGCATTACTTCTAAAAACACTAATTGGCTTTCTTCCATAGATACTATTACATTATCAGGTGATGAACGAGACTTTGGAAGACTGAATGTGAAGTTGTGTTATGTTTCTTCTGTAGAACAGATTTGGATCACAGTTTTACATGTAAGCAAATATAAATAAGTTGTTTATTTATTCAAAGTGCTATTTTCCTATACTCGATGTTAATTCTCATTAAATTTGGCTCTCTTGTTACTTTAATGAATACTTTTAGGAGAAAAATAAAATTACTGCTAAGTATTAATATAAACAAAGTTCGGTCAGATCTAATGCTGGGCTTCAAAGCATCCTGCCTCTCCTTGATTTTTTTTCCTGTTGCAATCCCTGTTCTGCTACAGTCAATAGCAAGAAATAGTATATAACTCCTTATGTTACTATACATATGTTAACGTGTTCTGGTTGTGGAGTGAGGAACTATTCAGCATAGCTTAGAAAGCTGAGATGGTCATAGGCTGGTCCTGCTGTGAACATTTTCCTGGGGAAATCTGAAGGCAGTAAATGGAAGCAACTTCAGAGGCAGCATTTAAGTGATTTCTGTGATTCTATGACTTTAAATCTAACAGTTCCTTCAGGGCAGAACCTTGATAGCCCTTTGAGGACACGTAGCTTCTTATGGCCTTTTTGTAAGCAAATGTGATACTGTTATGCTGGTTGTTTTATTTATTTCCAGGAACTATGAGTAATTTTCAGGCAATGGAACTTTGAGTAGTCAGATACCTCAGGTAAAAAACAATCTTACATTGTCTAAACTGACTGTGTTTTCAATGTTGCAGTGCAAAGACCTGTGCTGGCCTTCTAGCTGTGGGGAGAATCCTTGTATCTGCGTCAAGGGAATTCTCACACTGCCCAAACCAGTGCATTTCAAATCTTCTGCCAAGGAGGGCTCCAGCGTAAGTAGAGTCAGGGAGAACACTGTGAAATCTTTTTCCCAACGAAAAAAAAAACCATGAAATGTAAATGGATTTTTATAATGGACCAAACATCCACTCCTATGCCATGTTTGCTGTGGTAGTTGCCTAGATATGGGTTATTTCCCCCAACTTCTCATAATCCTATTAAAAGCCTCATTCCACTTCTTCCCCCTATATCCTCTCCTGCATTGCACTGTTGCCCTCCTTCTCTCTCAAGGCTGCAGGACAGATACTCATAGAGGACTGAACCATGAGCTGCTGGTCTTGGCAACTCCATGGTGAGGGACCAGAGGAAGACTGGACATACATGTAGGTGCACACTCATCCAAGGGAAGGTAGCTGATGTACTGCCTCTCATATGGCAGGAGACAATATTAATGCTTTGTCTTTACAGAAACTGTAAGAATTGGTTGCATAGGACAAGATTCCTGATAGTGGCAGTAAACAAATATTAAGGGGGTGGAAGGAAAAGCAACATAAATGCCCCATAATGTGAGCGAAAGATGAAAGAAAATAAAATCAGCTGGAGACACTGTAGCAAAAGGCCACAGAATCTGTTATAACAATGTGTGTGTGCTGTTGTAAAGCTCCAGAAGAGATGGCCACAACTCGTTATAGTAGTGAAGAATAATCCCGAGCTTTGTCCCTGCCAGGGTGCAGCAGTGAGAGGATGAGTCTGTGCAGGCTTACCACTATAAAAGCACACTTTTCCATGGCAGCCTAAAATAGTAATTGTGAGCAATGGCTCACAACTTGCTTTGTCACAACCTAGACACCTTGGTTTCTAGGTTCTGGGCTCAGTGGGACTCAAAACGGTGATGTTACTCCTCTGTTTTTCTTTCTAGGATATTGAATTTATGGAAACTTTTGTATTTGCTATTAAACTGCAAAGCCTGCAGGCTGTCAGATTGGTATTTAAAATCCAGACACAGACTCCCAGGAAAAAAACAATTGGAGAATGTTCCTTGGCACTGCAGGAGCTGAGCTCGCAGGAATCAAGTCATTGGCTGGATATATCTCCTCCTTCCAAAGCACCTGTAAGTGCCAATACTGTGAAAGTGTGTTGTTATCTCACATAGAAAGAGTTGCTGGAAATGAAAGTAAAGTAATGCAGTAGTAAAAACGAGGGGGGTTATTTGTTTTTCTTCTCCCCACATCCTCGGGAAAGGCATTTTGATGGGGAAAAAATGCAGACTTTTGAACTCTGCACATAGCTGTTCTGGTCATAAACTGCAGCTGTTTCTAGGAAAATAGCTACAGCAGACTCTTCCACACCATGGCTCACAGCTTGAGGGAGGGGCATTCTGGGGAAATGTTCAGCAAAGGACACTGGGTAATTGTCTTTTCTGACCAAAAAAGCATCAGAAGCTGCTTAGCACTCACAGCAAGAGCTCAGAGCAAATGGAACGTGCTTTTGTTGTGGAAGAAAAGTGCTAAGATCTTCAGTGGCTTGAAAATGCAGAGACAGACATATATTTAATGTTCAGATTGCATGCTGTGAAGTAATAATTCATACAGTTAATTTCCATTAGTGTAATAAGAAGCAGGTGGTTTTCACAGTGGCATTTCCTTTCCCCCTACCCTTACTTTGTTTGTTTCTTTTATAGATTGTGTCTAGACATTTGTATTTTCAACAAATTAAACTTGAATTAGCAATTCAAAAGCAAATTTTATTATAAGCATGTCTGAGTAAAATGAATGATACTCTTGATTTCTAACGTAAGCTACACTTGACATTTTTTAGTTCTAACAAGAATAACAATATTGCTTCAAAAGCAGTAAGATAAGTGACAGAGGAAGCTTTTTTAGAAAGCGTTTCATCTCAATGTAAATTTCTGAATCATATCATAGTATCTCTCTCTGTGTTGGCTTTCCTCACTATTATATCCAAGAGCCCTCCAGACACTGCTGGGATTCATCCCTGTGCTACCCTGTGAGGCAGCAAACACTACCCTCCCTGCAAAAATAGAAAGCCAAAGCTCAGAGTCGAGTAAGTAGCTTCCTCTCAGGGTCACACAACAATTCTGTGGCTGAGCTGCAAAGAGAATTTGGGTCTCTGATGAACTGGAGCCTGACTTCTCTTTACCTGACCTGTTGTTCTCTCACTTGGTGCATTTTGCTTCACTGAAGTGCATTAGAACTTGAAGGGAACCAAGCCTAGCAGAGTCCATTTCAACAGAGGTTGTCAGGAAAGGTGGGTCTCTGTTGGCCTTTTTCTGCTGCTTTTACAGTGTTCTGAGTATGTTAGTCTGACAGGAGAGCAATGAGGATGACACAGTGAACTTTGCCACTAGCAAAAATTCTAAAATAAAAAAAAAATAGACTGGAGATCTCGGATCATTCAGAATGTGTGCCGGGCAGGGGTGTACCTGTGTACGCATGTAAAACACATGCTTCCATAACATAGGAAACTTCACAGTATGCAGTCACCCTAAGCATTCATGACATTAAGTGACAGGGCTTTGTATCTATGGAAAACGTTGCTTATATCTCCATATTGCAAAATTCAGAAGTGTGGGAGGAGAACTCCGACGGTTTCTGTGTAAGTGGAGCACACCTGGTCTCTCACTTCCACACCCAGGTTTAATAGAGCTGCAGCAGCATGTCTGGTCTTCCCTGCATGTATCTGCTCTTACCAGTACAGACTCTATCCCAGGTGAACACTGAGGACTCGTTTACTTGCCCCTATCTCTGTCTGCAGCCCACGAGGGCCATCTGTGCACCGCACATACGCAGTCCATCAGCAGAGCACATGCATTGCAGCTATGACAAGTGCAAGATGAACTTACTGTGCATCTGCAGGCTGTGTATACAACACATGCTCATGTTTCTGTCCAGGAAATCCCAGACAGAAATGCGGGAGCCCAATATATGACAGAATTCCTGTGTTTCCTGAGTTTATAAGCCACTTAATCCACATGTTATGGCAACATTCTTCTGCTTGTAGGTGCGCCGTGCAGAACTTCAAATAGGAACTTGTTTTCAAGCAATAAACAGGAGGATACAGTTACAGATTCTTGAAGCACAAAACCTTCCTGTTTCATCTACACCACTCTCTTCAAGTAAGTTACATCAGCTGTTTCATGCCTCCTGTCTAAAAGCATTTGTAACAGGTTAATTGCTGATCAAATGGGTTGGCAATTCATAACATTCTTTACAAACCTCAGACTAACATATTGTGCAGTAGACTTCCATTGCCAAGGCTTATTTCCCCAGATGTCTTACTTGATTACTTTTTGTTTGGTTTGAAGCTATGTGTTTATGTATTTTGGAAGATTTTTATCCCAGTATTAATCCTGACATACAAAAGCATTAGCTTGCACTTGCTGTTTGGATACTGTGTTAATCAGTTCAATATTACTGAACATACTCTGTTTGTGTGACTAGTCAGGAAAGCTATTGTACAGTTCTTTTGGCCAGACTTTTGAGAAACTGTTGCAATTTGAACCATACATGTGGATCTGGTTGGTTCCTATTTGGGTGTGTTTGTGAGTAACCCTTTGTGCACTATGCCTTTTTCCTTCCCTTTTATGCCAGATTTCTTTGTGAAAGTTGGAATGTTTAGTACAGAAGGGATGATCTATAAGAAGAAGACTCGTCTCCTGAAGTCCACTAATGGCCAAGTGAAGTGGGGAGAAATGATGGTTTTTCCAGTTAGCCAAGCAGAACAAGGAATTAGCTTTCTCATCAAGCTCTACAGCAGAAGCTCAGTGAGAAGAAAACACTTCCTAGGACAGGTTGGTTTCTCCTAAATAGCCTGATCCTTTACTTAAAATCCAGTTCCACAGGTTTCTTGGTATGAGTTTTCAAATACCTTAAATGAGGTGGCATATAGCAAAATAGTAAATTCTAATAAACTCTTCTGGATGTAACCCAAGCAAGAATAGTACTGGATTCTTAAACATGCACTAACATCAAAATAGGAGTTGACATTTGATTTTTCTTTTAAAAAGAATTCCTAAAGTCAGTTTTGTGTGGAGTATTACTATCTGAAAGATTCCTTCCAAGACACACACCATCTCCTCCTTGCCTCTAGGCTTTGTAAAGAAAACAAACACAGCACTCACAGGATCTGCACAGCCTACAATGTCCTGTACAGCAAGGGGGGTGTTGGTTACCCCACCAGTACACTTACAAACAAGTGTGTGTAAAAGGAAGTATCAACAGCTACAATATGAGACCGCCTTCCTAGGTAAAACCAAAAAAGCTGAAATCAGTACTATATTCTAAGTATATATGATAAAGAAATAATATAGGTGTCCAAACGCAAAGTATTTTTTAGGCTTGTTTTTTGTTGCCTTTTTTTTTAACAAACAGAACTTCAGTAGTATCTCTTTGAAAGCATTTGTGTGATCATATTTACTTAACTACCATAAAGCTTGGTAGTCTGGTCTCTTTATTCTCTCTGTCCTCTTCTCCTTGTTGTTATTTACCATCATCCTATCCCTTCTCCCTCTCCTTTTTTTCTTGGTATAGTGAACCATAGCTGTTGTTAAAAATCTCTGTGCTTTCTCTGACCCAGTTAGATGCAGTAGCAGAATTCTAATATATGCAAAAGTGAATAATGTAGAATTGATTTTGAGACCCCCCCAACTGTAATGTCCTATGTCAGATGGAGGACTGTGCTGTCCCTAGGTACAAAAAATGGTACTGTCCCATTCTGGTGCTCTTTCCTGTGCCTGCTGAAGACATGCAGGAGATGCTGAAGTGCTAGATGCTGTAGAAATTATGTGCCAGCAAGAGTTATGTGAAGTTCCTCCATTTTTTGGAGCATTATGTCACACATGTCCCATCTTTCTGAAGTTCCTGTTGGTGGAATTAGATTTGAAACAGGAAAAGAAAAAAATGGTTCTTTTTAGTTGTGCTACTTTGGGGAGAAAATAACTGGGTATGATTTTGCAGTCCCTAGAAATACGTGAGGTCATCTCAATCTGATGAGTTACATTTAATTCATTGATCTTAGGGGGAGGAAATGAGCTACTTGTGCTCCTCAGAGATTATTTGGAAAAGGTTGTTTCAGCTCATGAAGGCAGACATTGCCACATAACACACGAAGACATAAAATATGGCTCAGGGGAAAATGTACTTTGAGGAATTGGCTGGGTAGCTGGAAAAAAATGACTATAGCTGGATCTATTAACTTTGTCCTTCAGAGAATGATGTTTAATTGGATGCTGTTCTAAGCAGACAATACATAGATTAGGCTGCTTTTACAAGCATGTCTTTAATCATGGGCAAGATGTATATTGAATCTCTGTGGATGAAACATCAGCTGTCTGTGGTATTCTGGAAGACATTATTCTCACTTCTCAAGGACTCATGCCCCAGCAGTGTAGGCTAAATGTACTTCATGGTCAAGGTTTCTGAGAAGTCTTAAAAGGACTCATTCTTGGAAGACATAAGGAAATAGAGTCCTGTAAATAATGATACCTACTTACATAAGCAGAATTCTTTTGGCAGTGGAGGCTGGTGATAATGTTAAGGGGGAAAATTTGTACTTCATTTCCCTATTTCATGGCCACTACCCGTTAACTGAATACTGAGAAGAAACGGACTCTTACTACGTGACTGTGTGTGGTATGGGCATGTTAGTAAACTCTGTGGAATGCAGGTTTGGCCCTGTCTGTGGGAGTGTGCAATTTTAAATGCTCATGGATATGCTGGACAGCTCGTGTAGGGGATGCCAGATGGCTCGTGGCCAACTGCGTTCGAATGCACGGAGCCGCCACTGGCCCTGATGAGCCCTTGACCCCAGCACGTGCATTTGAATAGAGCAAGGAATGCCTGACTTAAAACATCTTATTAAGTACAGAAACATTATTATGTGGTGGGTTCTCTAAACTACTTTAGAGGCTAAATTTAAACACAGACTCTCTGTGTTCCCAGCTGAAAGCCAAAATATGTTAGGATTAGCAGAACTGTATTTGTTGCTGTTATGCTTTGGTCACAGTCTATACATTATATCTTGTTCTACACTTGCGTGTTATTTATTTGGAACTAGCAAAGGCTGGGCCTCTGTGTTATATCAGGTAAACTCAATTTTATTTTTGTTTTTGTTTCTTAATGCAGATCTGGTTAAGTCCTGATAGCAATAACAGTGAAGCAGTAGAGCAGTGGAAAGATACCATTGCCAACCCTGAAAAAGTTGTTGTTAAATGGTACAGCATCGGTCCATCTTGAAGACTGGAGATGAAATTCAGACCTGATTTTTCTACAACAATTCCTATTCTGTCTAAAATAGTATAAATAAAAAGAAAAATATTGTCTACACAAGTTCAGAAGTTCTTCACTGCATCCTGCCTCTGTGGAAACTGAGGAAATTCACCAAGAGAAATATCGGCTAAATATTATTAAGAAGAAGACTTTAGGAACTGGGAAAAGTGTTCATTTGATTTAAAAAAATCCACCTTGAAAAAAAGATTTTTTCCCCTTTCAGGCTTCATAAAAACACAGAAATTCAGTCTTGGAGAGAAGCAGCTTGAATCAACTCTATTTTGCTAGTTACTGACATTGTCTTTATCTGCAGTCTTGTTTTTGGCAGACTCCAAAGTCCATGGGTATCAGTTGGGTCAGTGGCTTGATCCTGGGTACCTGTGAGCCTCTGGGGTTGTTGACACCATTTGGTCAGAGTAACACGTGCTTGAGCAAGTGGGAAAGCTGTGGCAGTAGATGAAGGCATAAAGGGAACTACATATGCATTTTTGATGAAGGGTTGTTCAGTACCTGACATGCCTGTAGCCTGAGTTTGCCCCCATCCTTCTCTCGAAACAGAGAGATGGAAAGACAAGAGTTTCTTTGACTTAGTGATCTTTGCAAGAGGGCCCCTCCAGACTTGCTCTGTTTGGGTAAATTCTCTTTGGAATAATGCAGAGGCAATGACCCTGCTTAGGAACAGAGCCAGTATTTTTAGATAAATTACTTTCTTATATAGAGTACTTATACGTAAACCACTTCCTATCTAATCAACAAGGCTCTAGCGTTTGCTTACATTGCCAAAACCCAGACTAACATGTACAAAGGAGCAAAGATTTACTTACATAAGTGCTTTTTGATATTAATTAAAATGTAGCACTGTAAGGGACTTTGTTTAAAGGATAGGCTACTACTGCAGAAGTATTTGTTACATGTCTACAATGCTGAAAAGTTATGTGTGGGAATATATTTTTATTACTTGTTTCTAGTAAGAAGAAATTACCATACTTTTATTGCAAATTATATTTTTCCTACAAAATCCCAAAATTATTTTTTCTGTTAGTTCCCATATTTTCAGAGGGTTGTTCACAGTTATTTTTAAGAGGGGAAAACACCATGTATATAATTGATAATATATAAATCTAAAAGCACAGACCTCTTTGCACTACTTTAACTATCAGATTGGAAAAATACCTATATATTCCATTAAATCCACTGCTTACACATTTACTGTTGGCTGTCTGGACTGTACAAATATGTATAGCTTTAAGGATGCTGAATAATTCCACCTTTCTTCATAACTTGGATCCGGTTCCAACATCTGACAGGAACTTGCACAGCAATGAGAGCGCTCACTGCTGGAAGGCAAAGGAACATGGGGAGCAGAGAAAAGACTGTAACAGGAAAGCATGTCCTCTTGAGCATCTTTATTTCAATATTTTTGTCTTTGAGTTAAGTGTTCAAGAAAAAATGGAATCTCTTCGATTTCCCACCCCCAAATCAGTTGAAAATTGAAACTTTTGAAACTTCAATCATCCAGATTTTGGTTGTTGAAATTTAATATTTTGAAAACAAAAGGATTTTCCCAGGCTCTTATATGCTCTGCTTTTTGACCAGTCTTTATAAAAGAACTGAAAAAGGTTTTGCATGTTACTTGGAGAACAAACGTCGGTTCTAGCTCTTACTGACACTCTTTGCAAAGCTCCCGGTAGGCCCAGAGGATCTTGACTGACAGTGTTAACTTCCAGCCAAGTTACACTTCTTGGGAGGACCCTGTCCTGTTGGGTAAAATGAAAAAAGGAACTGGACCGAACTGATACTTTTGGATTATCTTTACTTGAATACGTGGATCTTTTTTATTCATTGTGGCTGAACATTTTATTCATTGTGGCAGTAAACAAAAGTGCAAACTAACCATTTCCTTATGCAGAATGCTGTTCTGTTTAAAAGAGAGAACAAGAAATATCCCAGGGTTTTATAGACTTCCATTAACACAGCAGTGGTTCTACAGAGATTGCCAACTCAGTAGATATGTGTAAATGGACTTTTGGGGCTGCTTTAGGACACCTAGCCTTCTAAAGGCCTAACTAGTCTCTTTATTCCTACATTAATATTTAATCTATGTGTTTATAATAAAAGATACGAACAGAAAATATTCCCTTTTTTTCCCAGTTGTTTATTCTAATGTTTACCAGCATCTTAAACTGAAGTCCTACTTTTTTCTCTGAGGAAATCTCAGCTAATGAACTCTCTTTCATGTAGTGTTGCCTGCAGGAGAGTTAACTGCTGACACATAAGCAAGATGCACCCAGGTACTGGAGCACTCTGAAGAACATACTCTGGGGCACTGCTTCATCCTCTGCTCATCCCCAGGCTGTGGGGTTTTCTGCATTCGTGTGCCTTCATGTAAGAATTTAAGGAGTTCTTAATAGTTGACTGTTGTCAACAGTTGTGCTTTTTTTCCTGTCACATAAAGCATTTTTCCATGGTGATTCATTTGGGTCTAGAGCTTATCAGTATGGTTGTTACCTTAGACAACAGTCCTGAAGAAAAAACATAAGACCAGGGGATACACGCGTGTTCCCAGCACCAGTCCCAGGGTACAACTGCCTGTAAAATGGGCTGTTCCAGCAGGTGTTATTTCAATTTGACTGTCTGAAACACCAGCTAGAAATCACCTGGGATGTCTTGCCTTTTAAGTGCAGAATGTTTTGCTTTACTGCTTAGTGACTGCCTCACTATAAATGCATGTGAGACTTAAGCTTCTTCAAATTCAGCTCCTGGCTTATTTGAGACTAATGCAGTTTTCCAGAAAAGGAAAATGATGCATCATTTGAAGACCAATCCACGATATAAATTACCAAGGAACTTCATGTACTCCAGGATACATGCAAGAAGAAGGAAAAAGAGGTGTCTCAGAACACTCTTCTAATGGTCACAGCTGTATGTTGTCCCTCTAATGCATGTTCAGCCACTGTTTTGATTGTTACATCCAAGTTTACTTCCATTGAAAATACTGTTAAGTAAGCTGTTTTGTCAGTTCACTTAATTTGTAGATATAAGGCACACATGGTTTATAGTTGAATTTGTTGTTGGTTCTAGTTAGTGACTCAGCTTCCTAACTTACAACAATTCTGATGAAAGCAGCACAGGTCAGAAGCTGCACCAGTTTTATTTCGGTCATCTCCCAAATGAATATGGATGAACTGGAAGAACAGTTATGATCTTATATTAGATGTTATTCATACAGAGGTCTGTGCTTGCATAGTTAGAAACCAACCATAGACTAAACTTAATCAGATTTTCCAAAATGTGTGTATATAATTTCACTGGTTAATCAAACAATCCTGTTTTATTTATTTATGACTAATAGCATTCTGTATGTAAACAAGGTCAACAAAGTTTTTCAAGTTTTTTACATCTCAACAGCATGGCATGGCATTCCTTTTAAGGAAAAAAATTGTAAGATTCTACCTCAGAAGATGAGTGGGTGTAACAGCTTGTAAACCATACCATCATAAAATATTACTTGGAAAATAATTGTATTTGAGCATCCGATCTTTTGTGATCACAACATAAATAGTGCCATATTGCTAAATCCATTAGGCATCCCTAGTTTTTCCTTTTGTTGGCAGGACATTTTTATAAAACAAAAGGTATTTTTGTAAGCATTCAATTAAGCACATATGGTGTTTGACTTGAAAACTGTCTGCCTGATGGAGGTTCCTTTTAGAGTTATGAGTTGATTTTCAGCCAAAACACAAGGTTGTCTAGAAATCTGGGGCAGGGTTGTCCCAGTTCTTACTTTCATCCTGCCAACATACGTATGACATGGGAGGGAGGCTGCATAGTTGTGGAAAGCTTGGCATAAATCATACTGGATGTGATATACCCTCCTTGTTTTTCCAGCTTCTGCTGTGAAATTACATCACCATGTAAATACAGCCCTGTACATGATCTCATGCTTGGTGCATGGAAAAAGCCATCACTAAAATCAGCACCATGTTTCACAAACACTGCTCCAGCACATGTACATTCTTTTCTCTAGCTTGCACTGAGGAACAGGCTATTGTCTCTCAGTCTATGGCAAAACTCCCACTGCATTCAGCAGAAGCAACCAGTCTTCAAAGCTGGTTTAGTTATTTCAGCATTGAGATAGTATGATTTATCTAAAAGGTTACAAGCAGCTTAAATTTTTTATAGTTTTTAAATAGTTAAAAATCTCTTCACAGTGATTTTTCTGTAGAAACTGAATTTCATTGAGAGTGGATCTCCATCTCTTAACATAATGCAATTCTTCCCATAGATTTCAGTCTTTGAAATAAATCCACTGTGTTGATTATTTTCCCCTTATGTCTGAGTGTGCAGTTTTTTCCCTTCCTTTGATTTGACTGTAGACTGCTCTTCTGCCTCAGCATAAACAAGTGTGTAAATGGTGTCTGCTTTTTGCAATTAACTTTCTGCTTTTCTAGTAATGTTCCCCCCTTCTTTACCTAGTACTGGGACCAACATTATACATGTTTGACTTGCTGTTTAAAGAACTAGCTACAGGCAGAAGGCTTTCATCCTAGCACTTGGCTCATGTCTCATGCTCTGCATTTCTGAGCTACCTTTGCTCACAGCTTCAATGGTGTGGTTCTTTTGGAGCTCCCCAAATTCCTGTGTTGTCTACCACCATTGAATACAACAATGGGATAACTCAGTTGTAACTTCTTAAAGATACCCAGGTATCTTTACTTGCCTTTCTCCTCCTCCAAAAATTAGCTTAGGAAATCATTTTGGATGTTGAGAAGGAGCAAGCTGTTTGTGCTTCTGAGCTTAAGGGACAGGAGGGTTGTTTGACTGCCACCACAGTGCTCTGAGATGAAGAGAAAGGCTCAAGGAAGAGTCATGAAAAGCTGCACCTCCAGGTGGAGGGAGGCCTGCCTGTACCTCCTGCATATATGATCTGGGAAATGCTTACTAATCTGGGGATTGGGATCCGTTGTCAGATGCCCAAAGGAAAGGGTCATCATATTGTACTTTTTATCCTTGTCTTGCAAAAGAGCTATGTAGCAGCTAAATAGGGAAATTTTCCATAAGAGGAATGGGATGGTTCCCAGATTTCTATAAAGCAGAGAACTGACTAAAAGATCTCAGGACTTTGAAAAAAAGCAGTCATAGAAAGGTACTTGTTAGTGTTAAGTATAGCCAAGCTTTGTCACTTGTCATAGGAGAGGAGTGAATTCTTCTTTTATGATACATAGCAGAAGAAAATGGCACGTGCACCCAAAACAGGGCTGGTCTCCTCTGCATTGGTATCATTAGTCCTTCCAACACTGAGGTGGAACTAAACACACTTAGCTGCCCATTTTCCGGCAGTAAGGGCAGATTGGGTGGGGAATTGTTAAAGGGAGGTTGTGAAGGAGCATAATAATAAAAGCATGAATAAAAGCAGCACTTTTGTTTGGAAAAACATTGGTTTTGAAAGCAATGTAACATGCCTGTAACTATTGACAAAGCTTTTATTTGACATGAGTAAAGACAGATGATTACGCACTTAGGTATTTGCTTAGGTTCTTTCAGTATTTCCCAGCATAAGACTGGATTCATCCTCTTTGTATTTATATAATGCTTCATTCTGCTGCGTTCACTGACCCTTGAGCTCTAGACCTAATTATGCCTGATTTCTTATGGCTTTGTCCATCATGGCTGATTGACTTCAGTGTGCAAATCCGGATAGACTTTCTTCGATGTTTTTGCTGCACATCAGGTAGTTACAAAGTTTCTCTCTTAGATGAATTCTCTCATTTCTAATCAGAGGTGAGCTCATGACAGCTATTCCTTCACCTGGGAAACTGGGAGCTGGCTCTCCCTTTCCTACCTGAATGTTCTTGGGTTTTCTTAAAACCTTTAGAAACAGAATTATCTGTGACATCTTCTGCCATCAGTCAAATTTGGCCACAATGACTAATGAGCTCAAAAATTATTGTGGACCTTGGAAGAGAAATGAGCGAAAACAAACTCTGCTGCTTCAGGACCCTGAGGCTCAGTCGTGTTTTCCTCTGTTCTACCACAGAACAGAGAAGCTTTTCAGATCACTGCTGATCATGGTTCCAGCAATACTAGTTCTTGAGGCAGCTCAAGCTCAAGCTTTAAAGAAATATTTGTTAAAGCATGGACATTTTGAAGCATGATATTTTGTGCTATGGAGCTGGCCACTTGCTGGGGTTTCACAGTAATGCAGTTTTAAAGATCTGGGTGAAGAGAGTTTTGATGTACCTTGAAACTACCATTGACTAAAACCAGAAGCAGAGGTTTAATTAAGGTTAGTATTTAGAAATGCTTTAAAAGCCTAATTTTTAGATAATAAAATAACCAGTAGCAGCGGACTTCAAGTCCCCTTCTAATATCCAGCATGTACATCTAATTAGGACTCCATTAATGCTCACAGGGAATAATATTGCATTTTTTAAAACATTAGCCTTACTATATTTAAGTCAGCACTGACCTTGAAAGGCTGGGTGTTCCACTGCCAGAGTGCTGGCTCTGGAACCTACACAAACTGTCCTGGACCTCAGGAGCAGGATCTGAGACTTCTGCTTTCAGATCTACTTTGTAACTTGTGCAGAACATAAAAAAATAACCAATGGAATCAGCTTAGTTTCAGGTAGTCTTAGTTGCCTTTGGAGCACATAGGTTATTGAGAGTTGTGAGTCTATGGATCTTGATTTACTGTACAAATATTCCCTAAGAACCGGATGATTGGATGATGAATCAATGCAAAGCTTTGGAATTTGGGGTTTTTTTAAAGAGCAGGACAGATAAGCCCAAAGAGTTCTGAATGACACTGACAAATCTGCAATCAAATCTATATGACTGGCTCAAGCTGATAAGCTTGAGTGGGAAAAAAAAGTGGGTCAGAATGCCCATGAAAGAAAAATAGGGAAAAGCAGGTAAAAATAGAGAGAAAGGGCTGCAAAAATCAGGATTAATATACTCACCTAATTTCAAAGGCAAGGAAGTAAAGTCTTGGTGATGTTAGAGGCACTTTACCAAGCTCTTGTGCTAAGGTGAAGTAGGAGTAGAAGAGGATCTCTGAGACTTTAGTCTTTGCTGTGATTTGATAGACTTTGCTGTCTCCTCACATTACACTTTTAGTAGACGAAAGGCAACCCTGATGATTACCATTTGTTAGAGTAGACAAATAGCACTGTATGTATAAATTAAAGCCTTAAATGTGATGGATTAAAAAATGCACTACAATGGGATTTCTAGTAGTAACTTCATGTAATGCCAAAATTCACAGACAAGGAAACATAACATCAGAAGCAAGGGTGGCAAAGCAGGTACAGGAGAGGTAGGTCGTGAAGGACACAGAACTGATATTCACTTATAGTTCCAACAAGTGCAAATACAACTCCAGCTGATTATCCCTGGAAGTAAAGTGTTTGAGGCTGTTAAACAGTCTTTGCAAAACAATGCAATGTATTAAAATGAAGGTATTTTAATCAGGAAACACCAAAACTGAGAGAGTAAATCATGGATCTCTAGGGATATGAAAGGCCATGAAGAGTAACTCTGCATCAGTCCAGACTACAGGTGAGGGTTCTTCTTTCCCATTTTCATGTGACCTCCTGAAAGTATTTCCAGCACTGAACACTTGTTTCTGAGATGCTAAACAATTAGCCCAGCAACCTTCTCCCTGGGATTTAAGGAGTTCCACAGTGCTGAGTCTTACAGGTAACTACAAGCACCTAGACAAGTAGAGCTATGCAGCAAATCTTAGTTCCAAGGATAAAAATTTGAGAATTGGGGACATTAAAAAAATATTTCAGTAACAAGAATCTGAAATGTTCTGATCTGCAACACATGAAGATTGCAGTCATTTCAAAGCATGCCCAGAGAAGTGGGAGATTGGAAAGGGGGGAGCTTGGCATTTGGGTAACATGGCCTTCTGAGAGCACACCTGACAATGTGGTGCTTGAGGCTTTTATCACTTCTTAGCAGAGATCTACTTTATAATTAATGAGATTAACTTAGACCATCTATAAAACCATCTTAAAGAAATACACGGTCTGCACTACATGAAAAAGGGAAAATTACTAATTCAACATTTTTAGAAAGTCAGGGTAAAGTATGTTATAATCTTTGAATTTGGAGGAGTCCATTGAGGCCCCAGGAAGAGACCAGATCGTACCTGGAAACTGAGATAAGTAATTCTGACACTACAAACCCTAAAATTATTTTGTGATAATACCATTGAACTTTGCAAAGCAGTGGCAGTCATCCAGCTCACAAAAGTTCCTATAGGTTTACATAGGTGACCCAAAATACAAGAACGAAAGAAGTTTAAAGAACAAAGACAGGTAACAATAATGAAGAGATCATAGGAAAAAAACTGTGCTGATTCTCTGTGTTGTGGCAAATGGCACAACCTAAGACAATGTTCAGCATTTTGATGAACATGCAAAACCTGCAGTAGACTAGACAGCCATACAGCAGTTTCCTCATGCCAGTACCCTGTGCACAGATGAAGACAGGCACTGCTACCACAAAGGAATTCTTCATGGTGAAAGGATCAGGGGCCATGCTGTGACAGGTAAAGCACACAGTTCCCATGAAACCACATGGGTTACTGACTGCTATCAGACAGAGTCACAGAGTGAAAGCTGAGAAACTAACGGGACTGTGTTTATGTTGGAAACTGGCATTCAACTGCCTGGACATCAGTTAGAGCCAGAGTTGGCAAAGAAAAAAAACTCGGATATTTTGGAGTTCTGGGACCTGTCACTTACTTGGCATCATACATGCATTTACACACACACACACATAGACTGGGAGACAAACGGTCTTGGCAGCAGCATCATAAGAGGTGGCTCTGCTGTTGAGTGATCTTTTTATTGTGAATAGAAATAAACCAGCCAAAAAAGAAAGTGACACTTTCTTCAAATCCTGCACAGCCAAACAGCACATTTTGCCAAGGGAGCCAGAATTCATATGACCTCTCCCAGTGAAGTTTTCATCTTTCTCTATAAATATCAGCCTGGCAGTCATTCAGTTCCAGACATATAGTCCCCACAAGCCCATACTGAGTATTTCCATAGGAGAAGGCTGTTGAGCACTTGGGCAGCAAACCTTTTTGTTTTATCAGTTGTAAATGTAAAAAAAATGTGCAAAACAATGGAAAGTGCAAAGGGGGCATAGCTCAGTACCACATTTGTCAGGTCAGGTATGGAAACACTACAGACTCAGCCAACTATGAGACAGAAAGACACATCTTGGTACCACCCTCCCAGCCACTGGAGTATGATATGATCACACTGATTCTTTATAGTCCATTCAATTTTGACTGTGCAATTATGCCAGGGATAATATTCCAGGGTACTGAGGTTAATTGCTTAATTTCTGTTTATCCAAGCTGATTGCAGGCCTCCCAAATTATATACTCATATACTCTAAAAACATTGAGACGTTTCCTGACGTCTGTAACAAATCAGCCTGCTGTTGGAATTTACAGGAAAGAGGTGGTAAAGGCAAAACTATAGCACAGTAATTTCTGGAAGTTGATGCTGAAAGCACAGATGGGCACAGCACGCATTTTCAGAGGGCGAAACTGGTATTTTGTGCTTCGGAGTAAAGATACTTGAACTGGCAATAAAGTACTGTTGCAAATAAAAAGGGAAATACCATCCTCAGACCAAAGTTAGGAGCTTTGCACAGATGACACAGAGCTACGCATTGCTTCACTTTCTGCTGGGAAAGCCACAGTTGGAGAATACTGTTGAGCTGCAGTCATCATCTTTCAAGATACAAGACAATATGGAGAGAGTTTAGAGGAAACAAAGAGATCAAGAACAAGAAGATCTGACCTGCGAATAAGGAGTAAAGGTACTGGGTTGTTGAAGACGGAAAAGAGAAAGCATTGAGATAAAAATCTAATATCCTAATATGCAAATGTTCATGGAAAAGGAAGACAAAGACTGACTGTTCTCCATGTCACTAGGGATGAACTCATGTCATTACAGATGGCAAGGAAGTTTCAGCTAGAAAACATCTGCTTTGATTTTTTTAAACTGCCAACAATATTTTACCATCTCTGTAAAACACTGAAGCAAGAAGAGTGTGCTCAGATGCAATTCGTGTATCTTAAAAGTTTGATTATTAATGAAGATGAATGGGAAGGTCATTTTCTTTACTTCTTTAGTCTGCTGGATTGCAGAAGAGTCTTTAAAAAACAGTTCTTACCAGCAGTTCAAAAATTATATATGGAAAGTTTTCTAGTGACATCAAAATTATATATCTTTTTGACCGGCTTTTTAATCCTTTCATGAAAGTTTGGCAGTTCTCAGAATTAAAACTGGCAAAAAATTAATTTTGCAAAGGGAATGCGATGCACTCACCTCACCACTGATAAGGAAATAACCTTATACAATACATGCATTGGGTAGATATTTATTTCTGATACAGTAATGGTCCATGTGGTAAATATTATGTTAATACTACCATAAAGCATGACTTTCAGTAAACACAGCATTTCTACCTTTTGTTTAATCCATTAATTCCTTACTGTCTGTTCAGTCCCACAAACATTATTCTGTAAAAGCTTTCCATTACATCAGGTATGAGCAAAAACCTAAAACAAAGGTTCATTCTCAGTCAGGGGCCTCATCACACATTCCTTGGGCACCTTTCATTGCAAGAGGCGTGTCAAGTACACATGTGGCTCCTGGTCAGGCCACCAGCCAGAAATATAAATTTATAAAGCACTATTGACAAGGTTTAGCAAGTGTTGTCTCCTGATCTCATTTTGGCAGCTCCTTTAGTGATTTTCACTGTCCAAGCTCACTTTCATCAGTTTAGTTAATGACAGTGGCAATTAATGAAAAAGGATGAAGATGCCTGTGATAACATCGTGGTGGTATACAACAAAGGTGGAATTTGTTCCAGTTCCCTCTCCTAGAAACAAACAGCATGATACTGAAATCAGTAAAAATGCCTTAAATTCTGGTTTTTTTTTTCTTTTTAAGTCTTATCTCATGGCACCATCAGCTTCTTTTTTACTTAGAAGCTGGAATCTGATATTTCTGTCTATGGGGATTGCAAGGATTTAGCCAGAGAGAAGACTTATGCTAATAGTGTGGAACAGACCACTGGCAGAAAGAAAATATAGTGTGTTCTCAGTTTAAAGCTGAATTTGCCTTTATTTGGTGAACTGTTGGCTGCTTTGAACTTGAATATGTTTTGACTTAGTAACAAGTAGAAGGTAATCATTAAAAAACCCACGTTCTGTATTAATGGGACACATGCATGAGGTGAAGTTTAAGAAGGTAGCTTTTCCTAATGTTGCTGTAACGCATAGTTGGAAACTCAAGCAGTACCACTGGAGACTTTTAAAATTAATTTGTTTGCATTTCACTCCCAACCTATTCACATTTACAGTATAGTCTGTACTTCCAGATGAAATTGATTTCGCACATTTTGAATTTCAAAACCCTTCTGTGTCCACTCAGACAGTTTGACGCACAAGGAGCTCTGCTGATTCCCGAACAAGTCCAGGTATAACAGGACCGGGCCTACCATGTCTTATGTTGATTTTCTGATTATGATATTTTATTACACTTAATTTACACATTGAAACCATTTTTTTTTCTTCTACAGAGCTTCCTGTTGGCAACGTAACACTGTGTGAGTGGCGTATAATCTCGATTCCTTTTGCAATATCGTTTGGTCTAATGCCAACTTTTTGTTTAAAAAGGGTGTGAAAGGATTTGACCTGTAAGAAAATGATGCTAAATATTAACCGTGACATCATTTGAGCACTTGCCTCAGGAATAACCCCGGATACTCTCAGAGATGCAGAATAGAACACAAACTTTTAAAAATCAATTTCAGCAAGAATTCTGTTATAAAATCCCAAGCATCCTTTCTGTCTTTAGTTTCTAGCTTAAGTAAATGTTTTGGTTTTGTTTCACAAACAAAGAATTTTTAGCTGATACCAAACACCTAATTACTATAAACTGCATGATCTGGACAGAGACCAACTATGATTACCATACTTGGCCTTAGTAAGCGTCAAATTAATTTTAATGGGGTTATCAATTTCCCATCTCCACTTGTTGGGCAGCGTTGCTAGGTGCTCTTACAACACCTGTGATACAACCTCTGCTCAGCTGATTTTGTGAGCTGTCCTCTGGGCACAGAAAGCTTTTAAAATGTATAGGTTGTGTTACAGCAATAAAAACATCACAACAGAAATCATGAATGGATATTTTTACAGATGAAAATGAATATGCAGATTATCTAGTTCATTTTCTAATAC